AAAAAAGTTTTTCTGAGAGGAAAAAGGGCAAAAGTTACTACTTATTTAGACAGCTACCTGGTAGTAAAATATTAATAAAGTGAAGATAACCCGCAACAAACAGACATACAGACAAAGCTTATTTAAACTGATTTTTAGGCATAGGTATCGTGCAAATTAACATTACAACAATACAAAGTATATATTTTAAGTTTTAATTTCCTATTAAAACATCGCAAACAAAGAAATAATTATGATTTTTTTACACTCTCATTTTACTAAAATGCTTTTGTTCATAAAAACAACATTAAATTATATAAATAATTATTTATAAGCTTTGTTTAATTTTCATTGCTTTAAAAGTATTTCATTGAAATGTTAAGTGGAATTATATTATGACCTGTACTAATAATAAGAACCTGAGGATTTTTTAATATGTAACACCTTTCCACTCGCTTTTCTGCGAACTGTAAGAGATTTAGTAAAAAGGGACAGAGAGGCCGAGAATTGGCCGGGCGTTGCTTTAACTCATGAGCGTAAATTCTGGTTAGCTTCGAAAACGGTATGGTATGGTGGTGCTATGCTCTTAATATGCTCAATATAATTTAATTTATAGTTATGAAAACTGTAGTAGGCACACGAATCGGGGCAAACCTGGCGAAACTAATTAAATTGGATTATTCGGGGAGATTCGGGGCATACAAACTGGGACTTTCGGATTTTTTTTGTGGGACATAACTCCGTATGAGGAACAAATAGCGGGGAGACTGCCGGGTCCCCAGATATGATGTAACTACCGAGGTAAAGTATTATCCTTGTTTTGTGTCTCGTACGTGTGATGGCACAGTGGTGTTATTGGAATGTAATGGCAAAACTCGCTGGTTCTATTCCCACTCGATGTAAATGTTTTTAAAGTGAAAACTTCTTTAGGAACAACAACAACAACAACAACAAAAAAGAATGTATTTTTGTTTTGAGATGGGAAAACAATTGAACAGTTACACTGTTACTGTTACCGACACCTCTGTATATATTGAAATGAAAACTTCTTTAGGCGCGTTGGGCATTTTTTGAGGTAAGTAAAAACAATTAAACTCGCGGCACTGTTACCGTCACCGACACCTCTGTATGTAAGTATAAAAGTTTTCACTTCTGTAGGCACTCCGATAGGAGTGCCACTGAGTAAACGGGTCATGATAGTAACTGTAGTAACAAGAGTAAAAAGTTCGTTGCTCCTCCCATTTGAAGAGGAGAGGAGGTTTTGCCTCCGGTATGCTCACTCGGTGAAATACAACGAAAGAATTATTTAACTTAGTACAAGGAACAAATTGCGGAGACACTCGCAGATATATTTATTTATTTATTCTTAGGGATAACAACAGCTGTAACTCTTAACTAGGTATTTTACTGTTCCCCGCCACACAGGATATATATTCCTAATGCGGGAGTCTTTACAGAAAAAAAAACAGTTTCACTCCAGGAGTGCCGACAGAAGTGAAAACTTGAAAATTAAAAATAAAAGATTAAAACAGGTTTTTTTTTGTTTTTTTTTTCGATTTGAATTCCACCATGAATATATATCTATGTTGTACGTACATACACAATATATGTTTATATTATATGTAGTTACATTGTCAATGTATTTCAACCCAAACTCATCTCTCGTGTAAACGGGGCCAATATATATAGATAATTATATACAGAGGTGTCGGTAACGGTAACAGTGTCGCGAGTTTAATGGTTAATTTCCATCTCAAAAAAATACATTATTTTGTTTGTTGTGCGAAAATGCCCAATGCGCCTAATGAAGTTTTCACTTAAAAAAAACTATGATTACATGAGTAGCCAATAAGTATAGTCTATCAACGTCGTGCGCGACCGTCCTGCGGGGTGACAGACGGTGGCGGGGACGAGGTACTCAAGATATCAGCGGGTAGCGGGTGGTGTAGCTAGGAAGGGAAACGCGTGTAGCCGTGTGCTAGAATGACGCGCTACCTCGCCCCCGCCACTGTCTGTCACCCCGCGGGACTGTCGCGAACGAGATTGCCGGGTTATAATAGTTATCCACGTAAATACATAGAGTGGATGAATATACCTATGTATAACTATACACATCTCACACACGGCTATCTAATCCCAGACTTGGTAGAGCCTGTACTATGGAAACCAGACTGCAAAAAGTACAGTTTATCACTCAATTCAGGTATTTATCTTACCCTTTACCCATGTTTTTTTATCATCCGTGTGGTGACAGATTTAGAATACAGAGTGTCACCTATTATCCGTGGGTGTCGTAAGAGGCGACTAAGGGAGCAAACTACGCAGGACAACAGCACTGCAAAGAGAAGGAAAACTCGATACAAACCCGTCTGGCCAGCGTGTTATAATAGGCCAAAATCTGCTTTCTAAGGTGAGGCCTATGTCCAACATCGGACTACTAAAGGCTGTTGATGTCGATGATGATGATGCTTTTTTATACCCCTGACAGAATGAATTATGCAAAAATTTCATCGATCAAGCAGTTGAGGAGTGAAAGTGTAACAAATGAACCATAAATGACTGCACGGATGGCGGAGTGGTTTAAGCGGTCGCCACGCCGCTTACTACTACGCTTAGTGTTGTGGGTCCGATCCCCACATGAGACACCACTTTGTGTGATCCCCAAATTGTTCTAAGCCTGGGTGTGCTTTGTGTCCGTTTTATGTATGTTTGTAAAGTACTGCGACACAGGATATACATATATTCCTAATGCGGGAGATGTCTTTCAACAAAGTAAAAAAAACATAAATGAACCATCAAAATCGTTGTATTTATTTTATGCTATAGGGGGCAAACTAGTCCGCAGGCGACTCAGGCGCCGGAGGTCGCAGAATGACCTCCGCCCTCCATAAGCGCAGGCCTGGGGGTGACAGGTGAGGCGATCTGTCACCCACAGGGTGAGGGTTCCCACACGGGGGGGGGTCGTCTACTCGTCTGTAGATGGCCCGAGGTATGTCGGGGCACCAGGGACTTCCTTTCTAGGGTATACCTGGTTCTCCGGCTATTAGTACCCGAGACCGCGTGCGGTTTTAGTCGGGTCGAGTCCGACATGGTATCCGAGGGGATTTCCGCACGGGAAAAAAAAAAAAAAAAAAAAAAAAAAGGGGGCAAACTAGTAGACGGGTCACCTCATGGAAAGCGCCGCCCATGAACGTCTGAAACTCAGGAGTTATCTTTTGAGGAAGGAGTACTCTTTTTTTTGGTTTGAAGGTCATATCGGTCCGGAAATACCACAGACGGCAATTTTTAATATTTAGTTTTAATTACTCTTTCGGAATTAACTCCACGTATATCTAATGGAGTAAGTAGATATATTTTGAAAAGTATATTATTAGTTAATTACTTATGTTTTTGTTAATAACGCAATTTCTAGACTTGGTCCTAAATTTCACACTGGTACTGAGAATATTCTACCATTAAAACTTTTACCAATTTGTCTTACAAGAGAATCAAATCCAAGACCTTACGTTCACTTACGTGTAACTTGTAATTAAGATAAAGTACGTACGTCACTTTACTTATTAAAAAAATACTAGTTTAGGCCTGCGACTTCAGCTGTGAAAAATTCTTCCTCCCCTAATTCACTACCTTTAGTAATCTATCTCTTTCCAAGGTCCTTTTTATCACCATCATCATCAGCCTATCGCAGTCCACTGCTGAACATGGGCCTCTAGAATTGCACGCCATTTAAATCGATTCTTGTGTTCTTATCGTTATACTAAAATTCATCATAATTAGTTTAGCAGTTTAGACCTAACAACTTAACAGATAGACCAAATTACTTTTGCATTTATAATATTAGAATAAATTATTCAAGGGTCTATAAAATTACGCAAATGGGACAGTTGTAAGGCTGGTTTTGCAACAACATAGGGCAATATACTACTAAAACCTTATTTAATTAAAACTTTCTGAAAATATGTAGGATACGTTAATAAAACAGCCATGGAAATTAATCCATTCCTTTTTAAGAAAATTGTAAACCTCATTTATTGAAGTTGGTTATTTGCATTGATTGACAATCGAACCTACGACCTCCGACGTTGTGGTCCAAGGCCCTACCGAGTCATTACATCATTACAAATAGAACATTAAAATGGCCGTATTTATTCTAAACTTAATAACTCTATCCTAGGTCTTATGGCACTTAAATGTACTTAATTATTTTACCCTACTTCAAAAAAGGTAGTTCTTTATGGTAATACCAGCTATTACTTGCACCTGGCACCTGAGTCCCCGAGGAGCAGGAGATCAGAAAGAATTTTCCACCCCGTCAACAAAAAAAATCTATTAATTTCAGCTTTGCTAGCGTAATTATTTATAATTTCGTGTTTGAAAATGACGAACTTCGATACGACCTTTCATCCCTTATTTTACCCCTTAGGGGTGAAATTTCCAAAAATCCTTTTTTTAGGTGCTTAGAATATAAAAAGCATCAGTTACTAAAATTTCAAGTTTGTAGCCAAAGCGGTTTAGGGTCTGCGTTGATGAATCAATCAGTCAGGGCGAGTAATTTTATATGTTTACTAGCTGAGACCCGAGGTGTTACTCGCGTTTGTTGTTATAACCGCGGGCAACGCCGCGGGGCGAAGCTAGTCTAAAAAAAGTAGCCTAAGTTACTCCTTATGTCATCAGCTATCTGCCAGTGAAAGTCCCGTTGAAATCGGTCCAGCCGTTCCAGGGATTACCCGGAACAAACAGACAGACAGACAGACAGACGAAAATTGAAAAAAAAGATATTTTGGCATATGTACCGTGTAAACATACATTTGCATTTAGTAAAAAGCGGTTATTTTAATATTACAAACAGACACTCCAATTTTATTTATTTGTATAGATATAAGCACCTTTTACTTGAAAATAACTTAGCAATATTCTATACAGTAATTATAAAATTTATAATTTCCATTTAAAACTATGAAGGGCAAACCGCCAAAAAATAATTAAAATTTAATAAAACATTTCAAAAAAAAAATACTCACTTTTGCTCCCTATTCGCGGAAGTCGTAAAAACTCGTTCAAAAAGAAAAAGAAAAAGTCGTAAAAACTCGTTCAAAAACTGAAGCACAACACAAACACACCACAAGTACTATTACTAAGTAAAAATTACTTGTTGCAAACTCTACGCGCCCACTCGCACTGAACGCGGCGCTCTAGCCTTGTACAATAAATACGACAATAAAGAACTTATACACTACAAGATATAATATAAAAAATACTATCTTACAGCTTTAGTCGTGTTGACGTAGATTCTTTTTTGTATTAAGTAGAATTAAACACATCTCACACACGGCCGTCTGATCCCAAACTAGGCAGAGCCTGTACTATCCCAAACTAGACAAAGCCTGTACTATGATAACTAGACTGCTAGGTCCGGATGTCTTAATAATAGCAGTTCCCGGATCTCTCCTATTACAGGCGTAGAGGGGCAGACCGTGTGGTTTTGGTCGGTCCGATTCCGACACACTACCCTGCCGTAAACCCCAGTGGGTTGACAGCCAAAGGGGGTTTCAACACATAAAAAAAACTGTAAGTAGACTGCTGATAAACATACTTATATATAGAAATACTACAGCTGTAATATGTATGTATTTAGAAAATACATACATATTATAGCTGTAGTATACAGAACAAATGACCGTGCCTATTAACCAATGATTTGTCGAGTGTCGAGTGGGAATCGAACCCACCATTCGGAAACCTCACTCACTTGTATCAGTCCGGTCGAGCCAGGTCCAGCTGTGTTGAAGCAGGACTCTGCTTCTCTAATTAAGTTATTTATCTGTGTTTCTTTAATTATTAATTGGGATCAAACTAGAATACATTCAATTATAATAATTAACCAGCTGGCACCGACGACTTAACTCGCGTTTAACTTGAATTAAAAATGTTTGTTCAATTAAAGCACTACCACCACTAGGTGTAGTACGGTACGCGACTGCAGTCCATGAGGCCTCGGGTTCGATTCCCGAACAGGACAAAAATTTTAGGGTTTTTCTGAGAGAAAAAATAGCCTAACGCGGGACCGATTGTGAATGAGTAACTCCTTCACAATCGGTCCCGCCGTTATGAAGATTACCCGGAACAAACATTTAGACAAACATACATACTTTTGAAATCAGGTAGAAAGTATCAAGTTTTAGTTATAGATTCGATTATTGTTTAGTGCAAACATTTGTATGTATTTGCTTTGTCATCCATATTTATGTTATAAATGAGAAAGTTGGTTTATTTGTTAAGCTTTCACACATAATCCAATCAACCGATTTTAAATATTCTGTCACCGATGGAAAGCCACATTATCTACTTTCTACCGCGATAAGCGACATACACGTGGACAGGGCCGCGTACAAAAGCGTTAAAAAGTATATGTATTGTGGAGGAACGGTTTTCATTTCTCTCCAACACAAAGCGGGGTGTGATAATATAATATTATTTTTTCGGACACTGACACACAACGCCATCTAGTTTCAAACTAAGCAGAGCTAGTAATATGAAAGCTAGATTGACTGATAGAATACTTACATACTTTTTTTTTGTAAATACATACATATTATACATAGAAAACACCCAACGCAACAAATATTTGCAGATCATACGAACATTTGATCCGACCCGGGAATCGAACCCGAGACCTCAGCACAGCAGTCGCATTCGTTACCACTGCACTTAAATCAAAGACATATTTTATATCTTAAACAGTGTGATACAAACCTTACAAATCATTGAAGGCTTCAACCGACTCACCAACCATTTTAACTAGATCCCTCTCTGAAATGAACTTTTAAACAGTTAAGGGTTCAAATTACATAAGTTTTAGCGTTTGTTACAGTTTCCTATACCCCTACTCGAGAATTGTGACGTCATCATTGACGTGTTTAAACAAAGAAATTAATTAAAAATATTTATCTTTTAAAGCCTTAATGGCAGACATATGGGTACAAGACACCGGACTTTAAGAGTTAGTCTTAGTCCCGTTAACCCATCCGAGACTAAAGGCATCCCTTACCATAGCTCCATCGCCCTATCCATGGTCCTTAAGCCTTCCACATTTCCACGTTTGAAAACGATTAGATCTAGTGGTGACTGCACGGACGGCGAAGTGGTTTCAGCGGTCGCCATGCCGCTTCCTACTACGCCGAGTTTTGTGGGTTCAAACCCCACATGTGTGATCCACAAACTGTTGTTCTGAGTCTGGGTGTTCTTTGTGTCCGTTTCATCTATGTTTGTAAAGTTCCCCGAGACATAGGATATATTCTTAATGCGGGAGTGGTCTTTTAAAAAAAGGAAAAGAAAAGAAAAGTGGTGAACGATCCTGACTACTAAGAGAGTTATCGTAGGTTCGAACCCCACCCAAAACAAATATTGTGTTATGAGCATTAGTCGTCATCCCTTAGTCATCGAGTGGGTGTCGTAAGAGGCGACTAAGGAAGCAAACTACGCAGGACAACAGCACTGCAGAGAGAAGGAACACTTGAAACAAACCCTATACCAACCCGTCTGGCCAGCGTGGTATAGTAGGCCAAAACCTCCTTTCTAAGGAGAGGCCAGCAGTGGACCAGTAAAGGCTGTTCAAACTCAAACTCAAACTCAAACTTTCTTTATTTCATAAAATTTCCAAAATTGTTTGAAATCGTCTTCCATGTAGACTCTAAAGTCATAGATCAACACACACAAAAGCAACAATCTCTGTTTTGTCAAATAGTAACCAAATAAATTTAACAACAATCAAACCCATACAAAATCTATGATATGCCTGTGCCGATCTACAACCGCCCGTTTCCAAGGGGTTGAGCCTTATGAGAAGAAAGGGCAAACAAACTCATGGCCACTCTTTTGCAATTCACAAGTAGATACAGTGGCACTATTAAATATATCACAACATTGTTTTGATGTGTGCTAGTGTGTCCGTTATTAAGGACTTAAAGGTGAAAAAACAACGAAGAGAAAACAAGATTAAGAAGAACAAACGAATACAAGAGAAAATGAAGTGGAACATAAAAAATAGAAAAAATAATAATAATAAAAAACATACTAGTTACATGTTGATGTGATGATGTGAGCCTTATCATTTGTTCTGTGTCTGGTTGTAATTTGTTTATAACTGAATGACCCGATAAAGTTTATATCATCTAAATGTATTTAACTATATTTAACAAGCAGTCCCGACAAACTTTATTCTTTCAAAAGCGTGTCATAGTTTAATAGAAAAAATAAAAACGTAAAACTTTTATTGTGTCCGTGTAGTGACGGATTAAGAATACGGAATGTCACCACCCCAATTCATCCCGTGGGTGTCGTAAGAGGCGACTAAGGGCGCAAAACAACGCAGGACACCAGCACTGCAAAGAGAAGGAAAACTTGATACAAACCCTATACCAACCCGTCTGGCCAGCGTGGTATAGTAGGCCAAAACCTCCTTTCTAAGGAGAGGCCTATGTCCAGCAGTGGACTATTAAAGGCTGTTGATGATGATGATGATGATGAAAACTTATTGGGCAGATGTTTTAATTTACTCTGTGGTTTGTATGTTCTTTTTTTATGGTATAAGGGAACAAACGAGCATACGGGTCGGGTAAGCAACTACTGCTGCCCATAGACACCTGCAACTTAAAAGTCATAAGCGCGTTGCTGACCCGCTCGAGTCAGAAACCTGAAACGAAATGAGAAAAGAAAAATATTGTTTGTACTATTTTCTTCGCATTTTTTACGTTTTTTATCTCCATAACAACCTTCCTGATGCTTTAACTAACAGAACAACAACTCTCGACCTAAATAGTTTTGTTTCATTCTTTCAGTATGAAAGAATGAAACAAAACTGTTATCGAGTTTTGCGCTTAGCAACACTTTGGGCGATTCATTTTTAACATGCTTTTATTAGTGTAACAATGTATATACGTACGAATATGTAACGGAATCTTCGAAGGTGATTTTGACCTAATTAAAAACGTCGAATTAAATTGAAACTTTGCCCACTTATCAAGGACCGATGATAACACAATAATTTGATAAATATGGCTGATTATCCTGATCAGGATCTTCAGGATTAACGGCTTTTTCCATATCTAAAAATACTGTAGTGTCTTTCTTTTGCTACGTACTAAGAGGCGTGTGGTGACGAATTAAGAATACAGAGTGTCACCACCCTTATTCATCCCGACTAAGGGAGATAACTACGCAGAACAACAACACTGCAGAGAGAAGGAAAACTTGACACAAAACCTATATCAACCCGTCTGGCCAGCGTGGTATAGTAGGCCAAAACCTCCTTTCTAAGGAGAGGCCTATGTCCAGCAGTGGACTATTAAAGGCTGTTGATGATAATGGTGAAGTGGCGTGTGCGTGTGTCAAAATAACTAAAAAACAAGCTTTTCCAACTAGTCGAACTAAAAACTAGAAAATAATTGTCTATAAGTTCAAAAAGAAAAATCATTTTATAGTAAATAGCGTGGGGTGTTAATACCACGCCGCTTACTACTACGCTGAGTGTTGTGTGTCCGATCCCCACATGGGACGATACTTTGTGTGATTCACAAATTGTTGTTCTGAGTCTGGGTGTTCTTTGTGTCCGTTTCATGTATGTTTGTAAAATGTTTGTAAAGATTTGTTGCTAGTGCGGGAGTTGTCTTTTTTAAGGTAAAAAAATACTACTACTAACTAGAACGAACCATATTTTATTATTAATATGGAATATATAAAAAACAAACAAACTAAGCAGGACAACAGCACTGCAAAGAGAAGGAAAACTTGAAACAAACCCTATACCAACCCGTCTGGCCAGCGTGGTATAGTAGGCCAAAACCTCCTTTCTAAGGAGAGGCCTATGTCCAGCAGTGGACTAGTATAGGCTGTTGATGATGATGATGATGATGAGATGAACAAATATGTCAATAAGTTTGTCATAGTGACAATATTGTGCATTTTTAACCTACTTGAAAAAGAAAAGAGGAGGTTATCAATTCGGCTATAATTAAAAAAAAAACTAAATATCCCATAAAATTAATATACTGTGGATATGACGTTGTTATGACTTTGGATTTTCAGTGAGCTAAAATATAAAGAAGACAAAAGGATAATAGAGTCCAGCTCTACAGGAACCCGATTGTATAGATTACGATTCTGACTCCATTTTTTTGGAGACCAACTACCGCTGCCCATAGGCACATGCAACTCAAGAGAGTGTGCAAGGATGGGGATAGAGGGAGGGGGAATTTGGCTTCTGAGACCCAAGTGTGAGTTTATTTCACATTAACCTGGTCTCGACAGCGAGCGCGTTCGGCGTTGTGATTGGCCCGCACTGAAATCTTCACCAATCCCCATCCTTGCACACTCTCTTGAGTTGCATATGTCTATGGGCAGCACTCGCCTGATATAAAATATATTTCATCTGCCGACTGCCTGGGTGGCGCAGTAGTAATGTATGCGACTACTGTGCGGAAGTCTCGGTTTCGATTCCCTGATTTGGATGATCCGCAAATATTTGTTTCGAAGTTTGGGTGTTTTCTATGTATAATATGTACATATTTACAAAAAAAGTACTCTATCAGTCAATCTAGCTTTTATAGTACAAGCTCTACTTAGTTTGAAACTAGATGGCGTTGTGTGTCAGATGTCCATAAAAAAAAACTTGCACTTGGCCCTCTGGTAACGTAACTCACTCAGAGAAAAACATTGGAAAAACAACACACAAAAAACACACAACAACGGAAGGAATGCTTAACACCGGTTTTCTGTGAGACTGTGGTTTTTTTTTATGTTAGAGGGGGCAGACGAGCAGACGGGTCACCTGATGGAAAGTGACTATGACTATGGTTTTACTGCAGTCGAACCAGCCCATAATAATGTGTCGAAACACGGCTTTACATTGTTTTTTTTTCTGAAATAATAAGAGGCTAAGGCTTTAATTAAAATATCAGTTATCTAAAAATGAAAGTCCCTTGGTATTCGGTCCATCTGTTACGGAAATTACCCGACACAATAGAAAGAAAAACAAAACATTTAATTCTATTATATAGGTTCCTGCGACTGGTACCCCAGGGATGGCAAACGAAACAGAGGACGCCAACAAGCGAGATGGGCAGATAACTTGAGGCTAACAGCTGGACATCACTGGAGAAGGGTAGCGCGAGACAGAACCCAATGGAAAGTGCTAGAGGAGGCCTATGCCAAAAGGCACTCTGAATTGCGAGATATTTTATAAACTTAACTTCTAAACTGTTTAATATTGTATGTACTAATTCAGAATAAAGGGCTTATTATTATTATCATCTTTATTTCATTATTTATACATTTAAATTACATTTTTAAATATATTTATATACAAAAACAAAAAAAACATTTAAAAATATAAAAAATAGTAACCCATTGGTATCGCGTACAGGGACCAAGATATCGGTGGTTAGGACTCCAGAGACAGAAACTTCCTCACAATACGTGCCGTATCGAGGAGAACTGCTTTCTGCATCAGCTCCTCAATCCAACTGCCTAACGCGAGCCTCTGAAGGTGTTGGTCGAGGCTCTTAGCAACTAATCCAGGGCCGATATGACTATCGGTACAATGATTGCCGAATCAACATCCCACATGTCGACAATCTCGTGGGCCAAATCCAAATACTCCACTTGTTTATCTTTTTCAGCTTTCAAGAGATTGTCGTCATGTGGAATGGTAATGTCAACAATCATTGCTCGTCGCTCCAATCGGTCTATTACCACTATATCAGGTTTATTGGCAACAATAGTCCTTTATTATTATAA